ATTTTTTTTTTTTTTTTTTTTTTTTTTTTTTTTTATTTTTAATTAAATTTTCTCGTCTTCCGTATGACATACGTTTTACTAAACTACGCATGACCGTTTTCTTTCTTAACGCGTAAACTAAACTGTTCACTTATTGCGTTGCGTAATTCATTTTGAAATTCTGTCAGAACACAACTCTGTACTCACTCACAAGCCATAGCTCAAAGGAGTAGATTTATTTTTTTTATTTTTATTGCGTACGTCATATGTGTGTGACGTGTATGTTAATTTACCAAAAACTGCGTATTACACACTGAATACCCGGTTTTTTTTTCCACGCGCGTTATAAAAATACGAAACTATTCGATACACGACATCCGACCGGCACGTCCTCGGCTAGGCGACGAGCGCTGTCACTGTAGTATTGTTTTTTTTTATTTATCTGTACGCGCTCGTACCCTAACCTACACGAATTCTCGAAATTCTCGATTCCGGACCGTGATTGCAGACACCATTATATTATCGGTATAGACGAGCGAACACGCGATCCGCGCGTTTAATTTTTTTTTAAAGTCGGGGAGGAGAACACGTATTTCGTCGTAATTGAAAAAGCTCGACTTTACGATCCGCCCGTAAGCATAATATACTGCATTACGTTTTGCGAAAAATCGATTTTCGGCGCGTTGCCCGAAATCGTGTTTAACGGCAGCGACTAGGTGTAACAATAATTATTACCCCTTCCCCCCCCCTCCATATTCGGGAACAAGCCACTTTCATTCGGACAGATAACCATGACCGAACGGGCAATACCGGGGAGCAGTACGTTCGTGGGTTTAAAATTTGGAAGGGCCGAAGTCCTGACTACGGGGTGTTTACAGAATTATGCGCCCCTAACACTTTTACCGTTATATTTTTTTTTTCCAAGGTGGTATCACGGCGCTACAGCGGGGAACGTCAGAACATCGTCCGTGGGGGTCGTCCATCCCCCTGTATCCGTATAATTTATTACAAAACGCTATAAACACAAATACACCGCATTATTCGTGAACAAATGTGTTCACAGTACACAATAAATATTAATTCGTTAAAGTTCATTCGTTCGTAAACGTTTCGATCGTGTTCTCATCTGCCCAACTGTGCCGTCCGCTCCTCTTCCTCTTCAGATGCCAACACCTTGCCCACGAACCGCTTGGCCGCTCCCGAGTTCTGCCTGTTCGCAGGCATCCACCCGATGGACACTTTTACCCGACGAAACGATAAAACATGCTACACATTTTTAGGCTACGTACACACGTGAAATGATAGTTCCCATTTAACGGCCATTAAAAAGTATTCGGTACGTTACGTCGACGGCACTGCTGTAATAGCGGAATCCGAAGGGGCTTGAACCTCGTGCCAAAATGCTTGGACACAACACTGACGAAATTCAATTTTAAAACCGGCATAACGAAAGCTAAAGTACTTGTAGTAATACATACATAGATTGGTTTGCGGCCAATTTCCACTCTTCTATATTATCCGCAACGTTACATTAACATACATTATGATTGTTTACGATTAACAAACATTCAAATTCATATTTACATTATCCATGTGTTTGGTATGTTTTATTACGAGTATGCATTTAATTATATTTAAATGATTGTACATTTGCAGGTAAAAAAAAAATAAAAAAATAAAACGGACATACTTCGCACGATGGACGCAGCCACTGTTGTCGGTGAAAAGTTGGGAAGGTAGGATATTGAGAGGAAATTAGTTTGTTTCTGTAAGCAACGATAAACCATGCTTTGTCAACAATATATACATACTCGTATATGTCATATTGTGGTAAAACAATCACACTAATTACACATGCATTAAACATTTTCTTTAAAAATATTTGTTTCATATTCTACCTGTTTCCCTGTTTTTTCCCCGATTTGTCCGGGTTGTTTCCCTTTTATCGGGAAAACACCTGGGAAAATCAAAAAATGACCCGTTTCAAGTATCACCCGCAAGAAAATTTACTTTCACAAAATGATCGGCACCGTAGACATCGGAGTAAGCTTTCTGGTAGAAAAAGAGTTGTGAACAAATAATGATGATCTTCGTAAAACCAATACATTCTTCGCTACACTCGGAATCTAAAAGTAAAACATTAATATTGACATTTTTGAAAATAGGATCCGGAAAATTCGTTTACTATAAAAACTCGGTATACTCGGAATAGCGGGCCGGATCTATTACCGCTGTGTCCGTCTCCCCGCGCTTCCCGCCTAAAACATCGGTACGCCCCCGTCAGCAGTATTAGCTCTTTTTCCTTTCTGTCTGTCTCTCTCTCTCTCTCTTATCGTAATATTATTGTTTAAAAAATACCCGACTACGATGGGATTTTCGACCGTCGCGCGACCGTATATAACCGGAATTCCGGTTCGCGACTGCACAGGTGTACGGGTGTACGCAAATCGAAAATATTCTACTAATATTTTCCGTGACTTACACGGGTGGGGGGGGGAATATTACGCGATCGAATACCCGCGCGAATAATAATTATTCGGAAACCGATTCGGTAGAATTTAACGGCCGGCGATACCGTCGCTGTAAATAGTGTTTTTTTTTTTTTTCCGCGCGTACTTATCGCCCGCGCAACAATTCGCGAAACGCCCGACGTCAACTGGGGCTCCCGTTCCGCACGCCGTACCGCGAACTCCGGAATACCGGAACGCGTGAACCGCCCCGTCGCTATCCTCGCGTCCACGGTGTTCTCGCCGAAAGTCCCGGGAATCCGCGCGGCGTTCCGGCAGAATTTCGCGACGAAAACCGGCAAAGCGGCGCGCGAGAATAAAATACATGATACTGTTCGCGAAACGAACCGCGCGGGGCGAGATATTCGAACAACGCGAGACACTCTCGCGGCGGTAAATCATCACGTCGTCGTCGTCATAACAAAACGCCGCGCGCGAAAAGAGCTGCTACCCCGACCCCCGCCCGTTACACCGCCCCTCCCCCCTCCCCTCTCCGCTTCCGACGGCTTTGCAGTTGTTCACGGTCTTTTATTTTTTACTTTATTATTTATTTTTTGCTTTTCTTCTCTCCGCCGCCGGACCTATCGCGAGAAAAAAACATTCCGAGAGTAATTCTTCTCTTCTTTTATTTCCGTTTTTTTTTTTTCCATTTTTTTTCCCCTTGAAGTTACGCGCACGAAAAATATTATATAAAAAAAATGAAAATATTCGCGCGAAGTTCGGAGTAAATAAAATATAAACGCGCTCGTTTTTACATTTTGTTTACGTTATCGGGGTATACGTCCGCCGCGATGTGATTTCAAAGTTAAAATGTGTGATTTTGACCATCTTGTCATTATATCGTACCGCCGCCGTGCGCGAGATGAGAGTCAGGATAGTTTTCCCTCCGGCGACAACGAAATTTCCCACCGGAAAACGCGTGGCGGCAATATTATGCGTCTCTGAAGCGGCCACGCGCGAAAAATTCCCAATCGTTCCGATTAGCTATTTATCGCTGGATTTAATGCTTATTGCTGACTAATCGAGTAGTTTCGGTAAAAAATAATTCTCGTTTTTTTTTTTATCGACTTATTGCGTTTATCGTTGACAATAACACCTCTCCTAAACGATAAACCACGTCGGAATTAAAATGTACTGTCTAACTTTTAATGCAATTCGCCAAAAAATATACCGTGTTCATTTACGATAATTTTTTATTAAAACGTAGCGAAACGTCCCCTACAAGGACACACAATTCCTCTTTTTATGCCGAAATTTTCCCCGCGTGTACGGGAAATTCCCACGATCTAACGTCGTGTGCTCCCCGTGTGGCTTCGCAACGCGTTTTTTTTCTATACCGCACGCGGACGTCTCGATGTATTTTCACCTCGAGGATCCCGGTTTAGACGGACTTTATCAGCGATACCCTTGTTTCTTCTACGAATATCCCGCCTATTGCAGTCATTATTCCTCGTGCCTCTATATTGTATGCACCCTGGCCACGGTGTCGTTCCGTAGTTTTATCGTTTTTCCCGCTCGCCCGCGTTTACATTCACGCACGGATCAAATATCAGTATCCGCGGGATGTTTATTTCGAAAATCTACAGTGAATAATATTTTTACGGTGGGAGGGGGGTGGCGGAGGAACGGTAAACTCTTACAAAAGTCGGTAACCTACTACATTGACACAATGTACACTCGTACAAAAGATAGATTTTTTCAAATAAGTAAATTAGTAAAAAGCCAGTAGTAGTAGCAGCGGTAGTAGTAAAACAACACAGTTATTCGATTTGTACTGCGATTACTGGTATAGATGCTATAAGTTTTTTTATCTCCGAGCGGCGGAAAAAAAAAATGAGGAAGATATTGTTTGTATTTCCATACACGGGGAAATAACGTTACCGAAATTTCCGACACGACGCGATGCGATACGATTGTAATATTAATACGTTTACCAAGTGGTATTTTTGTTGTTATTTTAAAATGACGGTTTTAACATATTATCTCCGAAATAACGGAAACGCAACAATACGCACAAACTAAAAGTACCTGCCGCGGCGCGTACGTGTGTAGGAAGCGCTGTAACATGAAATGAGCCGTTACCTGACCCAAGCTCGAAAACGTAAAAAGGTCTGTGTAGACCTGATCGCGTCGTCTATTTTAAGCAGAGGTAAAACGTGACAACGTAAGTGTTTACCGCGTGTTTTGAATGCGGGTGAAAAGGTGATTTTCGCAAGAGTCAACATGTGGCCGTCTTTCGATTTACGTCGATACATTTGCGCGTCTGTAACACAACCGTCGAAAATCGAGAAAACACTATCGTTTTCCGAACAAATCGCTCCGAACCGATTTCGATCAAAACGGCCGACGCGCTAAATGATATTTAATAATATTATAGATTACACCGTTTTGGTTTTGGTTTTGTGACAAACACAACACGGCACGTTAAACGCGTATTTATTATTATTTTTTTTTTTTTTAATACCGAAGAGAAAAAACGCCGCGTTATTGTACAAGCAAACGCTGCGCGCATATTTTTTTTTTTTTTTTGTTTAATCAAACGTACACCCGTGTAGTACGTATTTATGTATAAAGTTTATTTTATTTTTTATTTTTTTTTTATCCGCCAGACAAATACGCGTGAATTTCGCATTTCGCGTCGGTTCGTCTGTTCGACAAACGGCGGTAAGCCTCTTAACGCGTACTTATCGCCCGTGACAATGTGATTGCAACGCGTTCTCGGCGTACTGCTGTCGTTCGCCGCGCGCAATCGTCTTGAAAGCGTTCGGACCGTGTTTTTTCGACCGCGGGGTTTACCGTATCCGAGGTCCGCGGTCATTTAGAGCCGTTCAGCTGGACACGATAAATCGTTGCGGTTTCCGTCTCGGCGCACGCGTGCACGCACACACACACACGCACACACGTACACACACACACACACACACACACACACTCGCACACACTCGCACACACACGCACATTGAGTATTTCGACTGGGCGCGAGCGAGTGGACAATAATCGCGGTGCACTTTATAACATACGACGGGCGCCGTTCAACGGTTCGCTCTGCGGCCATCCGTTTATAACATTTTCGTTCGCGCGTAATTGATATTTGTGCGACGGTCGCGCGAGAACGGAAGATTCGCCTGCGTATGTGTATGGGTAAACGGGTAAACGGGGGGCGATTCACTAAGCGCGGTGCTCGCCCCGTCGTTTTTTTTCCGCGTATCCAATATCCGAGTATCCGGCGGCGATGTCAACTACTCTGACCGAAATCCCATAAAACAATACACGCGAAGGGGGGGGGGAGGGGGAGTATCGTTTCGAATAAATGTTGCCGTTGACACTTTTGATTTCCGTCTACCCGTTAACGAGATATTCGACCTTTAAGTGTAGATAGGGCGATAATACACCGTCTGTGTGTGCGATTTTCAATACGGGTTCTCATATGAAAAACCAAAGTCGGTATCGCCACAGGATTCTGTCCTCAAATGTTATGAGAAATCCGTGTGTTCGAAAATACCGGCTTTGACTACACTTGCAAGTCCCGAAAATCAGAATTTGAATACGCGCAACGTTTATAACCGAAAAAACGGGGTGCGCACGCTTATAGTGAATCATCCTGTATACACCGATTTTAATCGCGTTCTTACTGTAATAAAATATTTACAAAAGGAATTATATTACACTTATAGTCAGTCACTTAAGAGAATTGGAAGCGACGAGTTTCTGTCTTTGTCTTACACGCGCGAAATATAGGGGTTCACACGTGTTTTGTTTCCGACATACCGAGTGAAGCGGTAAGAATTCTGAAAGCAGATTGTAAATTTGCCGCGAAGTCTACTTGAGATCGACTTTCACACTTTTTTTAATTTGTATTTCTCAAAAAATTTAAATACTCCGTTTTTTCAATTACTCTTTTATTAATATGGCTTTTTATAGAATTTAAGGAGATAAATTTAAAAAGCGGAAAGCCGATCTCAAGCAGACTTCACGACAAATTCAAGTCTGTTTCCAGAATTCTTATCGCTTAAATCCCTATATCTCACGTGTGTAAGACAATGACAGAAACTCGTAGCTTACAATCCTCTTAACTGTTAATGTATATCGTATGCAATATCATAGCTTCAAACATATTCGCTAAGTTTATAAAACTAATAACTTAAGTCCGGATTTCTATTCTGATAAAACATTTGAAATATGAATGTTATATGCAGTTGAAATCGGTGAAATATTTCCAAAATATTCTGAATAAAAATTGTTAATACTAACTACTAATATGCAAAAAAATAACATTTTAAAACTTTATTATTTTACTAAATTAAACACGCAATATGATTAACAATTATGAATTTATAATTTATACCATACGCAATACGTTAACATGAACAAATTATTAATATTATACAATGTTTTTAAAGGAATGTACAATAATATATTTTTCCAAATTTCCCGGAGTAGGTTAGTACGGCTGTCCGTGGTTATTGTCTTACATATGCTGAATGATTTCTCAACATCTACAGACGTTTAGGAGCAATTTTCAAGTCTGTGGCCATACTAGGAGATAAATCTTGAGGAAGTGTCACGTTGTCGTCCCCGGACAAAACTTTTACAATGTGTATCGTTAATTTAAATCCTTTATTTTTTTGCTGAAGATTTAGCATTTTATTTTTTATTTCAGAACATTTTTGATACCAGGTATACTTTGCACACTTGAAATAACATTGCGCGCCATTTCAACCGACTCAACTAATGTTAAATTTGTTTTTTTTTAATTTTTTATCGTTTTTGAACAAGAACGAAAAGATGTGATTTTAGAAATATTAAATCATTGTGCACCGAGAACTGGGAAAATAAATCACTACATTTTCCATGCTTATTGCTGGATCGTTTTCGAGTTTTTCTAACATTCTTTCTCAAACCGTCAGGATGATTCGATACGAAAAATGCGGCCTCCAGCCATGTTTCCAGTCTGGTCAAATACAGCGGCAGGCGGTTAGGTAATGGCACGCCGGGTAAAATGACTTTATAAATTTCAATGCGCGGAGGTGCTTTTAAAAACATTTTTTTTATTTTTTTAAACTGATAATTAATTCGTTTACCGAGCGATGCATACATTTCACTCTTTCTGCGATCCTATTTAGCACGTGTGCGGTACAATAGCAGTCATTAGTAATAACTGATATTAATATCGATGGGTTTTTATAACTAGTATTCAGTTTATACGCGTCCGAAGCAATGATTACTGTTGTTAATATACTACAGATTTATTACACTGTAACGAATTTACGGTGATTCTTTGAAATTGGTTCGCCGATTTGTGCGGTGTCGTTCAATCGGTCGATCAAAATCGTCCGCCTATCTTTCTTAAACGTTTAAATAATACTTGAAAAAAAAAATCCCAACAATAGAACGCGTACGGACACGGTAATCGGTACACGGTGCGTACTTGCTCGTGTACGTGTGTTGGGGTCGAGTCGCCGCCTGTGGGGACCACCTTGAGAACGTGTGTGTAATCAATGTTCAATCGATTCTGTCTGTGGTTGTTTGAAGGAAAAAAAAAATGAAACCTAAATTACAACATAATGAGTTCGCCAACACGCGGTTTGCATTTTCAAGTCTTAAGAACACTATTGTGTGAAGCGAAAATTAGTTTTCAAATAATTGCACATTTTCCCGTCTTGTGGCCATCCTGCGCTCTCTGCGTGTTCGTAATAGTTTACGCGACACGGTAAATTAGTCGATGCAGACGAATACACGACAATAACCGGACGGAACGTAAAATTATGAAGTCGTACTGTTAACGAATGATCGCGGCGGCCATAGCATGGATGACACTGACCGTAGGCGGTGGCTGGACGCTACCGAATCGACGAAACAAATCACACTTGAGTTTCCCGCGGTGTTAATGGCACGATGATTTTTCAAGAACAGATAGCGACTTCGACGTATGCAACCAGGCCGTTTCCGATTCGTGGGTCGATTCGCGAAGTCGCGGACTAAGCCGCGTTAAAACGTACGCAGACGAGAAAACACGAAAAATAAAAAGAAAAAACGATCGACAATCCGGACGCGATATCGTTTACGATAGCCGACAACTCCTCGCGCGTAAGGAAACCGAAACGTTATTGCGACGCGTGCGCGCATATTTTTTTAATTTTTTTTTTCAAGCCGACAATTATTATAACCGTACGTTTGCAGGCAAGCGTTTCGTTTTTGTTTTTTGTTCTTCTTTTTCTTTTTTAGCCGATTGTAAAACGGTACATACAGCTTTCCGAGCGCACAATCCAAACCGCGTAACGGCGAATTCGTCTGCGAAACTTTTATCTCGCGTTTTTCGACATTTTTTTTTTTAAATTTTTAAGGTATTTTCCTTTCCGGGATTTTCAATCGGATTCCGTCAATCGACGTCTTTACACGCGTATTTTTTTTTTAAAAAGTTTAAGAACATTTAGAGGTCCAGGGGGCCGAACTTTTCAACGAGGCTACCGTCGAAAGACCTAACGATATAAAGCGTTCACTGATCAATGCGTTTTAACGGGAGAAAAATAATCAACGGTAAAGACATCATCACGTATTATGGATTCCCATTCAAAAGCCACGAGTACCGTTTGAATAAATAATTATATTATTTTTGACAAAGTCACTGCGGTAGTTTCCACCGTACTCGTAGCGATACGGATAAGTCACGGTCGCCCAACGAAAAACATATTAAAATATCAAAGTGCAAAGTCAACGGTTAAACGCGCGGCAGATGAACACAACGCGGCGGGAACCGAGACGCCGGGGGTCCGATAGCCCCGGAACATCTCTCCCCCCCCCACCACCCTTAATCCACAGGCCCGATAGTGTTTCCGTCCGACGAGCAGAAAAAGACGTTACCGAGTTACGTCCAATGATTCCCGATGGGGTTCGGATACGGCGCGCGTTTACCGCGTTTACTTTAACCACTCGTGGAAATTCGTACGTGCGCATAATAATACGCGACGCGTACCGCCGGTACGGTACGACGGACAACGCAGTAGCGGCGCGCACGGCGGCGTAACTACGAGGGTGCTAAGGGCCGCTTGAGCACCTCCAGATCCGGTGTCGTTGTAATTTCAAATACCCGTGTATTATGCATCATGTAAACTAATGCTGTTCGCATTAGCCGTTCCGGTCGGTTCGACGGCATGCGATAATTAAAAAAAGAAAAAGAAAAAACGGCCGAGTGATAGTATGATACGGCAACGGTTAACCGACTTAAGCGTCGTTATCGTTGAGAGAGACCCGGAAGAAACATTAATCGGATTCGCTTCCCCCGCCGATTGAAAATGATTTGTAAAAATTTAATATTACACGATAAAACGTGTCAAAACTGTCAATGCATTTCGTTGGGAAGCGTGGGATCGGAGCCTTTCACGGCTATGTGAGTTTCATAATTTTAGCTCCAACATTTGGACTCTATAGAGTTGCGCCGCTGTATGCGTACAGAGTGATTCTTTTATTGTCGTTGAACACTCGTTATTTCAAAAAAAAAAAAAAATTATTAAAAACAAAATACGTTTTGAACGTTTAAGAAACGAGCAGATCTAAAATGTTACTTTTCGCCGCCTTTATAATCGGGAGAGCGAAACGACTACCGAATTGCTATTTTCAAAACGGTTAGCTACATTAAAAGTTGAAATAATTTGAATCAATTTCGGTGTCGTCGACGTGTTTGATTTCCGTCGACTCGTTTAACGAAATGTTTCGCTTTTAAGTTTAGGCAGGAGAGAGGGGGTGAAGTATGGCGGAATACTATTCAAACTCCGCGTCACCACACGAATAACGCACTGCTACTTTCTCCTTCGCCCCGCCAGTCAAACTTAAAATTGAAATATCTCGTAAGCGGATCGACGGAAATCGAAAACGTCAAAGTCGAAATTTTAGATATGCTCGTTTCTTAAATAGCCAGAAAAACAAAATGTTTCGTCGCAAAAAGTCTGCAATACTTTGCGGAACGACGAGTGTTTGACGATTAAAAAAAAAAAAAAAAAAATCTCTGTATATGTATACGCGCAGCGATTTATGTAATACACGACGCAGTCGACGTAACAACAATAACAATAATAATAATATTGTCATTATTGTATACCTACGTGAGGGCGGAGTGGCCGGTCCGAAAATCGAAATCATTCAGATGGATACATCCGAATCGATTACCGAGCTTTCAAACCCCGTGTGCCGAATCGGTTCCCGTTTTACACCTGCATCTATACAATAAACGCAATAAATTAGTACATTTTTAAACTTTTATTTAACTTTTGCCGTACTACAGCGCAGATATCAAGGTAATAAAATATCGTTATATTGGCGTATCAATCCGACTGGACGTACGTATCTACGTGGCTATAACATATACGCGTATACGTATGTCGTACATACCGAATATAAAACGCAGACATGTTTCTAGTGAAAAATCTGAGTGATATTCTAATTCGACACTCCAAAGCCTGCGAGAACGGGAACGGAAATATGCGTGTTTGGCTGTCTTACTGCGAACAGCGGGAACCAATATTCGATCAGCAGCGGATACATCACAAATTTAAACGGGAACCGATTCGGTTCACCGTCATAAAATAACTTTTCTTCAGACAAGAACCGATTCAGATGACCTGGATCGATTTATGGCCTGGTGGCTTGATATTTGGGTATACGATTTTAATTCCTCGTATTTTCTAATAACTTAGTAAAAATTTGTGCCGAGACACATATATTATAATACATTCTTATTTTAGAGGGTCAAAATTCCTCACACCCTCTCTTATTTTCGCCCGTGTCTCAAGTCAAAACTTATATAGCTTTTTATTAGCTTCCACTTGTTCGAAATCCTGGCTTTGTCACTGACCCGAATTAAAACGCGAGAAAAATTTTGTTTGGTAGATGCGTATTTTATCAGGTGGTCCGGATAAATTTTCTCTCGGCCTGAATACGGTTTCCACTCCGTTTGTGTTGCAAATATCTGTCCACCGCGCCGAGAACTGCATTATCGACTCGAACCCTTTTTCCCGAAGCTGAGCATTAACCAATCGAAAAACGTCAAAGTTAAGTTAAAAAGTCCATTTGATTTTTGACTTTTCGACTTGACCGGTTACTTTCGAATTTCCGCTAACTCGACTCGATTCCTTTTCGATTAACGCGTAATCGACGGATTGCGCTTTCGTTTTAAGAACTTAAGTTAATTTTTCGATTCGTAAGCGAAGCGAGTATCGGTATTGGTCTCATCGACTTTATCACGATCCGTGACCAAACTGACGTTTTGACAACGGCCCAATAACGGTCGTGTGTTCGTTCGAACCAGCGGTACTCAATTAACGTACGTATAACACGAAAAACGAAAAAAATTGGACTTGAGAACTTTTGCACAAACACCACGTTAGGTTATAATAATACATGCGGATTTCGACGTCAGACCTGTTTACGTTGGTAATTGTATTTACGCCGTCGCGCGTACGCGAAGTTTGCACCGCTTGTATACTTATGTACTTAATGCATATATTAATATCACTAACGCGACCCTGTTCGAGACTTGTTAGACGCGTTGTTTGTTGGAATTCGTAAGGCTTTATTACCGAGGTACACGAGTACAACATGACTTCGCGGTCATGACACGACGAATGCTTGAAAGTTTCCGAAATCGACGCGTACACCACACTGACGCCCTTCAATATAGACTGCCGAAAGCGATTTTGGACACGGAGCGGAATGTGTCGATTTTGGGAATCCTTGGTTATTATATTCTGGCCGTATGCTGAGGAACATTTATTAGGTATGCGATGTGTGGTTCATACTTCAAATTGAATTACCACATGTCAACTAACTATTTACTTTTAGTTTTGAAGTTATAGGGTTTTTTTGTTTTTTTTTTTTTTTTGATAATGTATTTTACGTAACTATAAATTATCGTATTTGATTTTGAAAAATGTCCGATTCTTTGTTTGTGTTATTGATTGCAATGCATGGATTATTGGGCGTGAGTATGCCGGACAAACAGATATCGTTTGAGGTGGACGAAAGTATCCGCGAAGCCAGGGTCTTGATGCTGGAACCGCGGGAACCCGGTCAATCGAAAGCCGTGTTCGAGCGATCGACGGCTCCCGGTATACAAAGTGGCGTTGTCGAACACCGAACACCGCATTCCCTATCGAGCTGAAACTGAAAGAGAAAGGCGCTAAACTTATTGGAATATAACAAATGTAAAAGAAAAATACTTTTTGAGAAGACTCGACGGTTAAAAAACGAAAAATAAACTGATACTGCTGACGGGTGCGTCACCGTTGGAGGTGGAAAATTGATAGTGAAGGTATAGGATACATACGATTATATTTAATTAATAACGGAGAATTTTTTCTGTACGTTTTTATATGCGTAACACTATAACATTGGACTTACCGTTTATGAGTCGCGAAAGTTTGAAATTTAAACCGGGGAGAAGTAGGTAAGGATAACGAACTTCATATCCATGTTTAGATAATAAATCGATAATCCTTCCCTGGCTCCCTGCTCGTTCTGTAGTTCTCATCTAAAATTTAAATTGTTATACCACCGAAAATCGTCGGTTTTCGGAGTGACCGCAAAACGGTTTTGGCTTCTCGGCATTTGTTTTTCCTCCTAAGCAACACAATAATTGACGAAATACGACGAGTTTATAATAACATTTTTGTTATGCGCGTGTCACGGACAGACGTATCGATTTAGACCCGTACGGTGAACCAATTATCCAGTCAACCATCACTGCAGCAATCCGCGAGTAATCGAAATCGTCCCTCGTCCTGTTGTGAAAATCCTCCGTCTGAAAACAAATGCGTCTTATTACAGTAACATTGTCTTTTTTTCAATCTACTCTTTTTGTCGCAAGCACTTTTAATTATTTATGTTCCCTTTAGATTTCGGGTACACGCTGTGACAGTGAATATGACACAATATTTTGGACAGTTTTTGTTTTTCCCGTAACAGATGTATTGTTATGATTATTTTACATTTTCACTATGCAGTGTACTTTTAATATTTTTTCCCCCTATCCATAAACAAGTTTCCCGACCGTCGGAACACTTATTTCAATCAAAAAACTCCATTGGAGTCTTATTTTTTTTTTTTTTTTTTTTTTTTTTTTTTTTAATCTATTTTGCGCGTTGAGTTTTTTTTTGAAATTCCTCGCGATATTTCCCCCAATAACGAAGAAATCCGCCCAATGCACAATATATGGGTTCGGATTAAGAATACACCGGTATCTGTCGAATAAAATAACCGGAAACGATATAATTATTTCTTTTACACTCGGTGTAGATAAAATGTATTAATGGAATTGCATCAGTTTTGAAACTTGTGCAGTTTTCGATTTTTAATTGTGTACGATGTCTATTCTGTTTTTTAGCATACATAATAATATATCGTGCAGCATCACATGTAAAAGTTCCCAAGAGTGTTTCTGAAGTTTCTGAAACGTCGTGTAAAAAATTTTTAAAAAAAAACCAGACGATGTCGATACCGTCTCTCCCATACTTAGTTTTCGAACATTTACGTTATAGTTTTCAACTGTCAGAAAAATGTTCGAGTGTATTATCATCTCTATACACATATGAAAGAATGTGTATAACGGATACACGATACTTCAAATATACAATAAAACGATCGTAAATATTAATTTACTACTTCTCAATGTCTCCGATAAAGGCGCACGCGTAATATTATAATTTATAACAAGGGCGGAGCTTTGGGAAAATTAATATTTTTTTCCCGTTAAAAGGAAAGTTCCTGTATGGTGATGTCTCAGGGTCCACGTCGAGGGTCACTCCAGAACGAATTTTCGTTTTGCGGAACCGGAAGAGATCTTGTGGTTGAAGAATTTGGAATAATTGTGAACTAGTCTCCGCGTTACCATTCTACCGTTTTGAGATTTAATTTAACTATCCGTTTCGTGCGCTAATTATTATTTACTCGTGTATCTATTCGATTTGTGTTATTTTTTTAACTGTTTTATTCTTATTTGTTTCGCTTTATCTTTAATGTATATTAGCGCCGAAATCGTATCATGGCCAACGATAATAGCGTACAATAAAATTGTACGTTATGAAATAGTTATTCTGCTTTAAACTCTTTATGTTCAAATTTATACGCGTAATTTTAAATTCTGACAGTACCGTTTTATACTGTATGGACTGTGATTAATATTGTTTTTTCTTGTATTTGATTAGATTACATTTTATTAGACCTGTTCCGATCAAACACTTCCACTTGTTACGTAGAATTTTAGAATTATTTGACTCATTGTTGGTTTTTTTAAAAAAAATTCTTTGTACTTTTTTTAACGCTAAAGAATAACACCATGTTTTTGTTATAATCGATTTTTTTGCATTCTGGTTACCTACAAATAAAAATATTTTCCGAACGTGGTACGATTTTTTTTTTTTGTTTTCATTTCGATTTATGTATATAAATATATTTTCAGTTAAATAAAGAGTTCTGGAATTTAATAAAAACGCCATAATAAGTAGTTTTTAGTGTTCAAACCAAAAAACAATTAAGTGATTGAATTATTTTTAAAAAACCTTTTTAAATTCAAATGTATAAAAAAATTCGTCAAAACCGAAAAATGTGAAACTATTTCGTGAATACAAATTAATACAAAACGTCAATTTAAATTTAACAGAAAAACGTGTGATGAATATGTGATGCCATACATATTTTCGCAAAGTGAAGCAGAAATCAGTGATTTGTCTACACTTAGTCAAACACTTCCATCAACTTTCTATAACGATTCAAGTTCTATAACTAATAATTAATGATTCAATCGAAACAAATGAAAATGAATAATCAACAATCAGAGGAACTTGAAAATAGTAGAATCAATGAAGCTGTAATTAACCAAAATCACAAATCTTCATTTTCAGTTGACAAAAAAAAAATTATTGAAAAAAAAAATTTGAACTAACTAGTAATACCCTGGAATAGCAGCAGAAATGCCACATCGTTTTATGATTGTGAAAATGTCAGCTTCTTCTAATCTACAAGCGTCTAGAGATCATTTAACAAAATACTTTCAAAGTATAGAAGAAACCGTTCGCACAAATAAACTCTTCCACAAAACATACAAAATAAGATTAACATCACAAATGTTTCAATTGGTCCATAATACCGAATTGGATGCTTTCAAAACGCAAATGCCAACAAATCATTCTACATTATTTCTGCCCATTCAGCAACAGCCCAACTCTGTTCAATAATAGCCCAACCATGTTCAACAACCATACCCTGTATTATCTGGAAATTAACATTTTCGGCCACAGTCACAGATAATTTATCCCACGTATATACTGACCTTTCAATATAACTAAATGTCAAATATCTAGAAAACTCATTAAACCTGTTTTATATATATATATATATATACGTGTGTGTTAATTGAGTAAGTCAAGGTAACTTGTGTAAGTCAAGCACATAAACCAGAGTAGGATTATAAATTTGTTTGTATTATTATAAATTATAGGATACTGAGGATATTTACTTAATTAACTTACTCAACTTACTAAACTTAACAACAAAATAGTTACTATAATACTTTGATCATTAAAAAACCCACAATATTTATATTCATATTCAATTGTGATACTTATAATAACATCATATTATTTGTTTTGTAATGTAATATTTTTGATTTGTTTGTTAATTACTTAATTGTATTAAAAATAAAATAACTAAAATGGAGATTTTTTTTTTTGTTTACCTTAAACATATTAAAAGTCTCTCTTCAGTAGTATTGCCTTTCGAAATGCCGTATCTTTTTTTTTGAATGTCATTCTTGATAAGTTCGGGAAGTTAACACCAATTTCTCCGCGGTGACATTCTAAAATGTTTTAAACAATTTTTCTGATCTCTCAAAGGATCTGGAAAAAAAATGTTAATGTTTACCAAATCTAAATATTTTTGTATTAATTTCGTGCGCTCGTGTTTTTTGTTTTCATTTATTTTATTATTTTTCTGCTTCTTCAGCTTCGACAATTGTACCCATAAACGACATTTCTTCTTCAGAATCACTCGTATTGCCAATATTTATAAGTTAGGAATCGAGGAAAATGATTTGATTTTCTAAACTTGTAATTCGTACATTTCAGTCGGATTAAATGCGCATAGGTCAGGTCGGGTTAGTTTGACCGTTGTTATTTGTAAATAACCTGTGAACCGGTTGTTTTTTCGGACGAGACCAACTCCGAATGAAATCTCCTCGGTTGGATTATAATTTAAACGCTCGGTATGCAATGTGTAAAAACTATAATTTAACGTTAATCGTTGACGGAATATTTTGTGCGCAGGGTTATTCGAATCGTTTAATCGAGATCACCCTGTGCGGCCTTGCTGCTTATATATTGTAATACATACATTTTGGCAGACCCTGTATAATAATAATAATATGTTTGAGAGAAAAAAAAAAGATCTCATATCACTCGAAACGACAATAGAACTCGATTACCGCTGCGCAGTGTATAGATTTCTGAGAATTCGCTTTACGTGTTATTGTTTTTCTTTTTTTTTTATTTAAGCGCATTATTTTAATAGGTACACCGTATTTCACATAACACAATTACAATAATAATAAAAATGCCGTTTAATAACTTGCGCTTATTCAAAAACCGTGTACAAAAAAAAAATAATAATAATAACAATAATAATAAAAAAATTAACGATACACGTACGTCGTATTAACGCGTGGTTAAAAGTAACAGAAAAAAAAACATTCCGGAAAAATTCAACTAGGTAAACACGAGCGTTGCGTTTCTGGCGGGTGCGAGTAAACGGTACGTACCATTAACATTACCGTGTACTTACACGGTGTACGTTTGTGTTACTACCGGGGGTTTCGGATATATACGGGAATATTTTATTTCGCATGTATATTAACCATTCCGACGTCGCAGCATTTGAACACCAACCGTGTTATTATCTCGGCGTGTATAAATCGCCCGTATGAAAAAAAAAACCGCCCACAGTAACGGGCGATTTGTGCGTCGCATAATGTGTATGTATTATTATCTCGGTGGGTATGAATGGACAAAATTAGGCAATGATTGTATCCCGGTACACATAAATGCACGTGACTTCTGGT